ATATTGATTTTTAAAAAATTAATAACTTATCTAGCATTTGAGAAAGTTATTATTTATAATGATCAGTTTTTCAATTTTAAATAGGTTATTATTTTATTTTATGTCAATAAACAAATTCTTATTGACAAGTTCTTTTTAATAAGAAAGAAAAGAAGAGTGTACTATTGGGCCTCTTCATTTGAATCTACCCAAAGAGAGTTGTGATGTCCTTTAAGAAACGATAGAGGCAACAAAATGTGAATGATCGAGAAAACGAGAATGAGAAAGGCCCTTGGAGGAAGGGGTCATACACTAGCATGCAATACGTGATTTGCATCTGTTGTCAAGTGTAAGCTATGATAAAGAAATTGGTGACTATGACTAGGTGTGCTGGCACAACGAATAAACGAGAAATCTTTTCTCCCTTCTCTATAACTTATCTTTTTCTTACTGTTAGGCCTAATGTAAGACAACATAAATTTAATCTAGATTTTTTTCTCCTTTTTTAAGGAAACTTGCTTGAAAAGAATGTTATATAGGATTTCAAGCGGGTTCTTGTGATTTTCAAACCATCAAGAGAGAGACCAAAATTTAACCTGCATACAATCCTAAAATTTATGAGACAGACCTTAAATTTCTATTTAAAAAAACTCATATTAGTTTATAAAAGTACGTCATCCTTTCTAAAAATTGATTAATGTTAAATGATTGAAGTCTATAAATGATTCAACTATGTGAGATTTTAAGAGCTACCAAACTTATATGTATGACAAAAGAATATATAATTTTAATTAGTGAAAATTTTTTCTCATTAAATTCCAAAATCACAAATAAATTTTCTTATATGTTCTTGTAACTTGTTCAAGTTAAATGCAAATAAGAACTCAATTAAAGAGGTTTCATTAATTATAATTGTTTATAAGTCAAAAGAGCTATACTCCAAATCAAAAGGAAATATAAATTTTAATAAGATAGAAATTACTTATATATTTATAAATTTAATAAATAATGTTTATATATTTTCTTAAAAGGGATATTGTCAATTTATTATAAGAAAATAAAAATAAGCAAAATATTTAAATTATGTTAAGATATTCATTTTCTTCTAGAGAACAATTTGATATTGTTTAAGAGAAAGTCATGAACCTAAAATATTTGAATTTAATTTTTTAAATCAAGTGCACCGGTTAACTCATATGCAATAACTAAGGACAAACTAGCAAGAGACCCTAAACTAACAGATAGTAAAAATAAAAGCATATAATTGACCAAAAAATATTATTATTTTCTTATAACACTACATATAGCAACATAGAATAATAAAAACGACAACACTACCTGTTTCAAAAATAAATCTCACAAGTTCAACAAAAATTCTCATAAAATAAAAATATAACAATATTCCCCGGCAATAACATAAAAAATTTGATGTCATGATGTTGTGAAGCACCCGTCAATCACGCAAGTATATATGTTGCTCAAGTGTACGATTTGAGTTTGTGTATTAATACCACTTGGAACTTATTTATTTCATAATAGATGAAAGTTCTAGTTTATTGTTTTTCAGTCTAGTGTTAAGGGATAAGATTTTGGGAGTTAAAAGTGTCTAAACCTATGTTTTACAGAAATAAAAACATAAGTGAGAGTATGGTGTTTCTATTATTTAAGAATCATGCTCCTTGACTTAGATCATAAGAATCCTCAATATTCTTTCAATTAATTTTTATCAACCAAGGATAAATCCTTCTTAATCTCCTCCAATGTCATAAGAAGTATTAGAAACTCTTATTATAGTTAAGTTGTTTAACAATGCAAAGTTTCCCAGAAATCCTATAATCCTTTATCCAGGTTGCAATCTCCTATTAGTAATATTACTTTCCACTATGTGATTGTATGTTATCATACTCGTTCTTCTATTCAGCGGTCAAAAGTCCTAAATCACAAGATATTTTATCATTTAAATTAGTCATACAAAGACTAAAAGAAGATCAAAATAATAATACAATGACATGCAATCCTTCCCGTGAAATCTTAATCAAAACTCATTAAAAAATATGACTCATCACACATCTAAATCAAATAAGTATAAAAAGATAATTAAAAAAAAATTATTTAAGAAACAAATTTAAAAGAGTTTACACAGGAACAATCTAACCAGGAAGTATAAATTAATTTGCTTTGCTAAGTTTCTCCCTTGTACATTGATGTCCACTTGTTAGCACTCAGAAATTACAATAAATCTACTCACCAAAGCCTCCCTTGGACTCTCTCACAGTCCCCTCAAATTATCCTCCATGCCCTCACAATGCGTTGGACACACTAATGACACTTTCAACACCCATTCCTCTGAATCCAAGTATTTTAAGGCATTCATGAAGCCACCTATACAAGAAAGTGCTTTAACTCCCACATGTCAGTTTGGAGTGGCATACTTCCTCCTTGGAGCGCTAGGTTTCTGGTTGCTTGGGTATTTACTCCAAGTGTTTTAAATCAACGCTCTCTAAATTTCCTAGTCAAAGTGTCGCCATACTTCCTCCTTGGAGCGCTAGGTTTTCGGTTGCTTTTGGTTCTTCAATGGCCGATAAAGTTTTGTAACCTACATCGACATAATGAAATCATTTCAACAGAGCCATACAACGTGGTTTTTTACCTTTCAAGTTTTCCATGCAAAAAATTATGTTATTTTTTTGTCAGTTTATTTTTACATATGTGTGTGTCGGATTTTCGTACAACATTAAGACATTAATATATCACTCTACTGTCACAATTTTATGAGCACACAACAAAATGATTCCTTGCTTTGAGACCACAATACAAGTAAGCTACGATGATTTGTCTTTTTAAATGCAATATCATTATTCATATTGAGATGAAATAAATTAAAAATTTCATGCCATTGTTCAAAAACTTTTAATGTAAAATACGAAAACTTATACTAATAAATATTATATGAAAACATAAATACATAAAATGATTCAGGAGTATGCTTATATGTACTTGTTCAAACATAGTTACTTTTCTCAAAATATTTTGTTTTCTCTTGCCTTGATAACTTATTATATCATATCAATTCAAATAAATTATTTACATTTAATTTAATTGAATGTATGTATATATGTATATGTATCTATATATATTTTATGGGGCTTGTTTGGTTTGCCATAAAAGAAGTGCAAAAAATTCCTTTTGTAGGATTTTCATAAATTTGGTTGTTTAGTCATATGAATTACATATGTGATGATTACAATTTATTTGAAATTTATATATAGTTTAGTTTCGAATATAATTTATATTAACTTAACTTGGGTGAATTCCAATTTCCAAAGACATTATTTTGTACAACACGTTGCTATAAAGTAAGTGCAATACTACCCTTTTTACATTGATTTATTTTTCTTCAACTTGAACAAGAAAATAAGAACTCCTATATTTACTTTTTATAGAACCAAAAAAAAAAAAATCAAAATTTTTCAAATATAATATCAAAATTTTTCAAATATAATATTAATATTTTTTTTTTACCATGCATTAAGTTTTACGTAGAAATATTTTTTCAGCAAATCAAACAGCTATAGAGAAAGAACAAAACTTATTAAGGGCCGCGCAAATTAAGTGTACTCTAGGGCTTAATTGGGTTACGCAGGTGCGGGCATGACCCGTAAAGCTGTAAATGAACGAATGCACTTGATGAACAACTCGAACTCAGCTTGATTAAACTTGATTAAATAAATAAGTTTGACCATTTTTTTATGAACTTCGAACTTAAAAGAATCAAATTTGAACAAAATCTAACTTGCTTGTCAATGTTTATAAATTCTAATTTGTTATTTAACAAGTAACTTGTTAAATGTTATATACTTATAGGCTATATTATTTAAATAAAACTCAATTAATTAGAATTATATATTAATATATTTAATAAGAACATATTTTAATTTATTATCAACATACTCATAAATTTAAATAAATTGTTATAACTTTTTATTTCAATGAAGTAATTTCTTAGTAACTATTTATATTATTTGATCATAAGAAAAAAAAAAAACTTATAACTTATAATATTATTTTGTTTGTTTAGTATTAACTAATGAGAAGCTAATAATTTATTTATTTAGATACATCAAATCATCTTTTAATAACTTTATATAAAAACTAAAATACTCATTTAAATTTTTAATTTTTTTTACGAATTTTATATGAAAATTTGAGTACAAATCAAAGGTTTAATTTCATATGAAAAATTAAGCATTTATTTCAATGTTTAGTTTTACTTAGTATGAAAAGGTCATGTATTAAACAAATATAAACATTAAAAATATTAGGCAAGTTAAGTATAAATATATTTTTGGAATTCATCTCAAATTTGAACTTGACATAAACAATATATACTTTGATCAAACCAAATCTAAAATCATGACATACCCTACACCTAGGGCTGTCAAAACGGCTCGTTGCTCGTGAACAACTCGTGTTCGACTCGTTAAAAAGCTTGTGTTCAGCTCGTTAATTTTGTTCGATAAGTTAAAGAGCTGAACACGAACTAAGATTGACTCGAAATACTACTAATCAATTATATATATAGATATCTTTGATGAGTAATCTTTTTTAAAAATTTAATTGACAAGGGTATAAAGATTTATAATCAATTAAAAGTATTAATGAAGAAAATAGAATAAAAATTATTAAATTAAATTCAAATGATATTTTAAATCTTGTCTCAATCCTAAACATCTGATGACTACGTGATTAGGGTTGTCAAAATGACTCTTTGTTCGTGAACAGTTCGTGTTCGGCTTGTTAAGCAAACGAACCGAACACAAACACACTTTTTGAGCTCGAAATATAAATGAATCGAACACGAACCTCGTTTACACCCCTACCTACACCGTGGGACTATCCCTCATCGAACGGCTACTAAACATCGAAGGCAAATTTCCACGTTTTCCCGCGGGCTCTATGTGGCGGCAAAAAAGCGAGCGAAACCGCAAAACATTTCAATTTTTCTTCTTCCCACTATAAGTCACATTTCAGTCTCAGAGTTCCCAATCTCATAACTTTACCGGACTTTCGGACGTCGCAGAGATGGCCGGAGGTCCATCGGCGCTTAATTCCCCAAAACAGAGGAAGAGGGTGGAGGCGGAGACGCCGACATTGATGAAGCGAGCAAAGGATGGGAGCGCTTTCACCAAGTGGTATTAATCGATTCTCCATTTTTTTATCTTGTTTCTTACATGGTTTTGGGGGCAATTTGTTTTTGTTATTGAATCAAGTTCATGTCTTGGACTTCTGTTAAAACAACGTTTTTTTTTCCCCTGACAGCGAAGGTTGCAAAAAGGACATACATGTTGGGCTAATAGATATGCATGATTGCGGCATGGATTCGATGATTAAAATGAATCTTGGTAACTCTTTGGCGTTTTTTATTCTCGCTTATTATTGTGCTGATTCGTTTGGTGTTGTTCGTTACAAAGTTTGTTTCATGCAAATTCAGAGGCTCAGGTGGTGGAGAAGGCAACAGAGGTGAAGAAGCCAGAAAAGTAAGTTATACGCAAGTTTGAATCTTTTTGTATTATGAAGTAGTTTTTTTGTCAAAATCGATGTAGTAACGGAGGGTTCAATGGTTGCAGAAAGAGAGCCCCGCCTTCCACTCAAAAGGAACGTAAGACAAAAAAGGAGAAGAAGAGTCATGGTTCTAACAAATGCAAACGCCCACCGACAGCCTTCTTTCTCTTCATGTAAATATCCATTTGTTTGTCTTTTAGTTTGTTCCCGCACTTATTATTAAATTATGCTATGCATTTTCTTAATTCAGGGAGGATTTCAGAAAGGAATTCAAGGATGCTAACCCTGATAACAAGAAGGTTGCTCTGGTAAAAACAATGCAACACCGCGTTTCAATTTTTATATCTAACTCTGTTTATTGATGTTAATGTAATTATTTTTTTTTTCCACAAGGTTGCAAAAGAGGGTGGTGTTAAATGGAAGGCCATGACTGTGGAGGTCAGCATCATAACACATTGTGTTTACTCATTTGTACAGAAGATTATACTTTGAATCCATTACCTTTATTCAGTTCTGCGATTAAAAATCTTGAGTTGTTACAGGAGAAAAAGCCGTATGTGGACAGAGCTGCCGAGCTCAAAGAGGAGTATGACAAAGCTGGGAAGGATGATGAAAATGAAGTATGTCATATTTTCTTTAATGTTATTGCTAATCCATCAAAACTACATGTTAAATATAATCACTTTTCTTGACAGGTTAAAGAGGAGGATGAGATTGAGGAAGAAGAGAAAGGAGACTCTGAGAATGAAAAAGAAGAATAATTTTTTTCTTTTATAATGGAACATGTTTTACTTATCGCTGTATTTTCTTGTAACTAGATTGCAGACCACATGAGTCCATGCATGTTGGTTAAATGCCCTGTTTTGATTGGATTCTATGACATGTAATGAGAGCAAATGAAGATTTATTACCCAGTTTATTTCTTTTTTTCCTTTGTTTTCTTTGGAAATTGCTAATGTCATTATTGTTAGTTTTATAATTTCCATCCCTATTATGCATTGTTTGGGTTTCTATTTTCTAATAAACTTATTCCCATGCTATGTTTGATTGTTTGTTGATAGGAACCTGTATTTAAAAAGGGAAGGGAAGCTATTTAAAATTGCCTACTCTTATTTCTGTTGATGTTTAAAACTAAGTTTTTTTTTTTTTTTTTTTTTAATGCTAGTTTTAATGTAACGTGTTCCTCATAAAAATGACATTAGAAATTTTTAATACAATTGCCATTTGACTGTACGTCACTAATTAAATTTTATTAATGCTTGTTTTGATAGTCAGTAAATTTGGGTAAATTATTGTTGTACATTATACTCATTTAAAACCTTTATCCTATTATTTCTTTTTAAAGACACTTTTGCATTTTTCTAACATACGTTTAATATAAAATATCTACACTCTTAGTTGGATCATCTTATTGTTGGTGTTAAATGTGATTAAACCATTTAAGATGACTCTAACCAATCTTTTTAAAGAATACATTCATTTCGGTTTTTTCTAAATTAAAAAAAATTATATGTAGATTCACATTAGTCTCTCTGTATTTCTCATTCAAACCTCTCAATAAATTTATATCTTTAATGATTAACTTGCTTGCCATACATCCAAATTGATTATGCAAAATTTTAGCATCACATCTTAACTTATTCAATTAGTCACTCATAATTTAAATATATATCATACACATAATTCCTATAATTTGCACTTTCGTGCATCTTCCAAATGAGGACCAATAGTTATTAAAAAAAAGTAGTTAGTTATTAAAAAAAAGTAGTAGTGTAGTAAGCCAATAAACTCTTAAATCTCTTTTATTTCTACGCTTCAATTTAAATATAATCAAAGCTTATTGACTTTCCACTAATGATTTTCTTTAAAGACTCATCAACTATCTTTTTATTAATGCTACTAAAAAATAAAAAGGTTTTTATCATTGATGACACTAATATCACAAAAGTTGATCATATTTTAAGAAATTTTATTGAAAAGTTTTACTCACCTATGATGTATATTATGTATTTTATTAGATTTATTTTTATAAATAATAATATGCAAATATAAATAATAATAATAACACAAGCTAAAATAAAAGTTAATATGATTCTACCTTTTTCATTAACTACTTCAAAATTAAATATTTCTAAAACTTTCTATCACCATCAACATTTCCATTTAAATCTCTTCCAATAAAAATTTCTTCCAAAAAATATTATTTGTATTAATTTTTTTAAATCATTTCAAAATTTTTCTTTTGAACCTATACCTTAACCTACTTGACGAGCATAAACACTTATAACATTAAATATTTTAGTATGAACAATAATCTTCAAGACTTAATTATATCTTCAATTTTATTGATTTTTTTAACATAATCTTTCAAACTCTTATTAATAATTACATCTACATTATTTCTAGTACGACTCTTCCATAAATACTAAAACTTAAAACCTAAACTATTAGTTTTTTGAATACATAAGATATTTATCTTCATATGAAACATAATATATATTGATTCTATTAATTTACTTATGAGAATACCTATATTCGAAGATTCTATCATCATATTTGTTTCATGAACAAACTTCTTTGCCCGCATCTATCCATGATAACCTTTATTAATTTGACACTACACCTAAACATTGGTGTAATGAATCTTAATGTATACTATATAACACGTCATTTTCAGAGGATGCCCTAACATTTACACGATTTAAATGATTCATGTCATGAATTCTTAACAAAAAAAATTACATGACTGTCGACTACCTAATAGAACCCTCCACTTTTACATGTAATAACCACAACTCAAATTTCAAATATAGTTAATACAGTATGACGAAAACTATAAATATTATGCAGATGGAAATCCAGTAACAGTGCTCCCCACATAATAAGAAGGTAGCCGACAAAGTTCTCAGGTCAGACCAAGCCATTGCAAACATTAGTTTAACTGAAATGATCTAAGATACTTTATCCATGCAAACATCATAACCATTAGGTGGGGCGGCTCAATGAAAACACTCTTAAATCACATGATGAAACATACAAATTAATATGCTGACATCTATTATTTTTAAGAAATCTGCAGCTGAAAGATAGACATGTCTGACCAAAAATATCAGTTTTTAACTTATAAGTACCCTGTAAGAAATATGAAATCATCATCCAATCTTGGAAGATTTGTCGACAACTCCATATATATATATATATATATAAAATAGAATGCATGGATGGGTATATTCAGCAAGCTTTAGATCTCAAACAATAATTAACTAGCACACGTAATATCAATTTGTTTTCAAGTATTTCAAGAATGTCATCCGCAATGTTCGAAAGTGGTTCAAACGATAATCAAATTTTACACTACTGCAGATAAAAACTTCTAAATATTATACTATATTGCCCAGATAACTTTGTCTCAAATTATTTCCCATCATCATAAGCCAAGGCAAGACACCTCTCTTTACCCATCAGCGTGCTTCATATTGAACAACTGTAGCCAAAATAAATAAATAAATAAATAACACATCATTCAAGAGATGAAAAATCATATTATAAAAAGCAAGATTCAAGAGATGAACAACTACAGCTACGTTATAACATTCATGAAACAGCTTATACCAAGCCTTAAACATGGTTAAATTTATTAAAACAAAAGTTGAAATGATTTCAAAATCTTATTGAGATCATCTAGTTACCGGCCAAAATGTTAAAAGTCAAATATAAATTATCCCAAAAATAAAAAGATGTTGTTGAACAGTGTTTTGTAGTAAAAAAGGGGTCAACCCTCTATTTCTCATCTTTCATTTTGTTTTCGTTTCTTTTTTCCAGCATGCCTTCCACAAACCATTATTTCGGTTTCACTGCATTGTTGCAGGCACCACACACGGTTAGTAATTATAGATCCTCATGATGTACAAAGTGTATAGAAAAAAAACAACCCTTTTTACCCGTTTTTGATCGGTTTAAAGGTAATCTTATGGAAAATTCCAAAATAAATATAAAGCACTGTAGTGAAAATGGCCACTGAAGTAAAAATAATTGAGCTACCGAAATAGGATGAAAGAGCATATCTGATCTTCATTTCTCTTCAAAAAGAGTGAAGTTCATGAATTTGAATATGTGATCTTTATGAACATTATAATATTCTGAAATATTTCAACTCCATGTACCTAATTAAATATTTGCAAGTGCCCATTTTTTGTATGATTATGCAAATTACACACACCAGAATGAAAAAAAGAAAAAAAAAACAATCGGCAGCTACAAAGTACATGAAGATGTAAGCAAATGTAAAATAAATCCATGTTGCTGCAAACTTGACCTTTAGAATAAAAGATGTTAACACTTGCCATTTTGCTTACCAGTACTTCGGATTGACAATCCATTATAACTCAAAATATAAATAATGTGTCTATATATATATATTATGCATATTAAATATTTTTTAAATTTAAAATGAAAAAAATAAACGATTTCTAGTCAACTCAATCGAAATTCGAGCCAGTTTCAAATCCAGATGATTTCAGTTAAGATGACTGGAAATAAAAGCAATTTGACCTAAAAGCAACAGTTGAGCCAAAATTGAATCAACAGTAAATAAAATCGTTCTCAAAAGAAAATGGCAACACATACTTCTGCGAGTTCGTTTCTTGTACAGAATACGATATCCACACTCCCTGCATTGGATCACATCGCCTGGCTTCAAAGTGTTCTCAGCTCCACAATCTATATGAAAAAAATATTATACCACAGAGAGAGAGAAAGAGAGAGAGAGAGAGAGAGAGAGAGCACAATTACCTCCACAAATATAGCTTACAGGTTCTGGCTGAGCATCCATCAGTTAAGGAATCAACAAACCTGCTTTCAAAACAATAAAATCAGTAGTAAGTTTAGGTTCTACTAATTTAAAACGATGGCCCAAACAAGAAAGAGTGCTAGGTGAAGTGATGTTTCCAACTTTTAATTGAATCATTTCAAAATGATCTTAGCAAGTATGAAATGGGCATATGACAAAACCAAAGCAAAATGAAGTAATTTGACACCAATTCAAAAAATAATAAATAAAGTATTTCGCTTAGACATTGATACGAACCGGAGCTAAAATCAGCGATCAAATTGCAAGAATTATTTGGGAAAACTCAAATTAGGGCTAAATTGATTAATCTCCCAACAAACAAATAACAAGAGGTGATCTACAATTCGAAAGATAGATCGATTCTCTACAAACCCTAAACTCTGCTAGGAAAAAGAAGACGAAGAAAACATCAGGAATCCAAACAGAAAAATAAAACCCTAGATGATTCGCCCTAATCTCATAGAACCCAACATATCATGGGGAAAGCTTCTTGCTCCTCCTCCTGACCAGTGTCTTCTGTCGGTAAGGTCCCAACTCCAAATAAATCATGTTCCTGAGCTCAGATTGTACCTATGTCCAATGTCCATCAACCTTCCTCTTCATGATCTTTTGGCCCCTTAGTAGACGCCCCTTGAGTAATATGACCATAGTACTAGTAATATGCATCTCCTAGATGCATATTATCATGTCTCTCTATTCAAAGTACTAGTCTACACCAGATATTGGCGCAATGCCATGCCCATAGTGTATCAGATGAGGTAAATCTCAAATCTCCTCTAGACTCTGTAAATCCACTAAATAGCCCAACCATGCTCCCCTTATCATCTTGACCAGGGTGTTGAGTGAGAGCATGGTTCTGCACAAGTTAGCATCTCCTCTCAGCACCACATTCCTCCCCTCTACCCTAATCTCCATAATCAGTGATTTCCAATCCATTCTCGTCTCTACGATCGTCTGTAACTAATTCAATCCCAATATTATATAAGTATTTCCCAAGTCCAAGGGAAGAAAATTCTCCACCATTTGCATGCCCCGTAGAGTCAACGCCAATCCCATGCAAATTCCAAGACATCTCTCCACCTTCCCTGTCCCCATCATAAGCCCAAAATTTCCTATATCTACCAACTTCAACCCTAACAAGTCCACGACCCTATTTGAGATTTAGTTGCGAGTGGCCCCACTATCCACCAACACTAATCCCCTCATCTTCATGGTGTGATTTGGAGTAAATCCCCACATCTTCATGGTGTGATTTGGAGTAAATCTCATTATAGAGTTGAGTGACACCGCCACTATATCAAAGTGTAAGTGCTCATCTCCCTCCACCGCTTCTTCCCCTAACTCCTCACTATCCGCCTCCTCCCCATCACAAACTGTAAGGACCTGAAGTGTACGATCCTTGCACCGGTGGCCTGGAGCATACTTCTTCACATCAGAAACATAATCCCTTTCCTCTTTTGTTCTACATCTTTGCCTCTATGAGGCGCATGGAGTTGACCACAAGACAGGCCCCCATATTCCTCTCATTCAGTGCCTCCCTCTAAAATGAAACCATATGGGTCCTTGGTGTCAGGGTTGTCGAGGTACTCCTATGGAATCCTCCCATGGTGCTGCTTCTGTTGGTCCTCTCCATTTGGTTCTCATCTCCCACCATCTAGCCCAACTCCATCGTCTCCCCCAATCCCGAAGGTCTTGATAGTCGCAGGGTTGAACATATCTCGGACGTCAGACCCTTCATAAAATTCCCCTGGAGCACTGCTTCAGAAATCTCCATCAACAATCTCGACAATAAATCAAATCTATCTCTATACTCAATGACGATCCTCTCCTGAGGTAAGACAAATAATTGCTCGTGTGCATCTCCTTCCTGAATTGCTTGAAAAATTTTCAACAATCAATCCTTAAATTTCTCCCATGAGTGGATCGAATATCTAGTCTCCCCTATTGAAACCATGCTAGGATTTTCCCCCTCCAAACATAACCTCGTGCGCATGAGCTTCTCCTCCTCCTTTAGCCCATTCACTATGAAACATAGCTCTACCCGGTACACCCAACAATGTGCGTCTTTCCCTTCGAAGATCGACATTTTCAACTTTCTAACCCTAACATCTCCGCCCCAAATTCCTCTCCCTCTGGTGGTTCCCTTTATGTATCTAGGGTGAAAATCCCTCATTTGATCATAGCCATACCTCATCCCGGCTTCCCTCCTTTTATATTCGTACTATTCCATACCCCTTGCATAACCCATTCCCCCAATTTCAACCCAACCTCTCGATAGGAAATCCCTAATCCCACCCCCCATTAGAAACCCAGGGAGAGGTTCTTGATGCTTTCACCATGTTTCTCTTATCTGATCTATTTCCCTTTAGATTTGGCCGAAGATTCACGATCAAACCTTAGTTAGGATTTGCAATTTGAACTGCTAGCAGGGTTTTGGATTGCATCTCGATAAGCCTTCTCGTTATCTCCTCCAAGCCCTTAAATCAATTTTCCATTTAGTTTACCATGGATGAAAACCTTCTATAGTTGAGAACATTTCCAAATTTAATTTTTCCTAGATCTATTTCCAATCTCTCTTCCAAAGCATCCACTTTCCTTGGTGCCATCTAATTTGCGATCTCGCCAATCATCCTAGCTAGCTCTTACAAAGACTGTATTGGACTAGGGCACGCCACGATCTTCCCAGCACACTCAAATCGCCAACGAATCACACTATATCACAAAGCTAGCAATTACATCGCGGTGTTCGACTGCCACCTTGGCTAGCTGAAATTGCAACTTTCATTGTGAAATTGTCTCACGCGGTTCAGAAATTAGATCACTTTACGTTGCGATCAGGTCATTTGCTTTGGCAGATCAAGCGACTGTTAGTGATGCAAAAATCCCTGCACTCGACGATTCATTCTTCTAGGATCGAAAGTTCGATACTAATTTGATACAAATCATAGCCAAAACCACCAAACAATTACAAGAATGAAAATCCAAATTAAGGATAATTTGATTAATCTCAAAGTAAACAAACAAAATACAAGGGGTGATTTATAATTCGAGAGGTAGATCGACTTTTCACAAACCCAAGATGCCGCTAGAAACAAGAAGATAGAGAAAACTGAAAAAATCCAAACATAAAAAAAAAAAACCCTAGCTGATTCACCCTAATAAACTAATAAAATAGACCAACACATTCAGACTTTTCACCCAAAACAAATTCAAACTTTCCCAACATGCTGGATTAGGGGCTAAACTGGCCCCACAAGGGAGCTGGAATCATCCTAGGCGGGACTTGGGGTTTCCGCCCCCTAGGCTGAGCTGTCGTGTTCACATTCTAACCAATATATAAAATCTAATCATTATATAAAATCAATCACAATATAACCCTTGGGAGTGATTTTCAGGTCATGATAAAAATAGATTACGTATTCTTACTCCCAAAAAGAAAATATACATTTTCAAGAAAGAAAAAAAAATGAAATTTCACAGTTCTTACTTTATTACATATCTCACACCTAAACTTTCATATTTACATACATAGCACTTTGGTGCTTTAAACATATGCATGAAAATGTGTATTTCACTTTTAAAAAGTGGTAATATTACTATTTTTGATATGAATCTAAGGATTTAAGTGTTGTGTGTGTAAATATGAAAGTTTATGTGTGAGATATGTAAATTAATAAGAATTGAGTGCTGTGTATGTAAATGCCCCCCAAAAAAAAATGAAGCCACCAAGGTGAGGAAACTTAATACAATAAAACACTAACTCAAATGCGTTAATACAAAAATTAAGCGGGAACATTGAATACTTAGCAATAATATGGCAGAGTGTTTATAAATAAACAAGTCACAGGCATTTAACATACTAAAACTGCACGATGAAATTAACCAATCACTAAACCAAACCTATAGAGAAAAAAAAGAATTACAGTCAATTTTTAAACAGTAATATACATATGATTAATTCATCACTTTCATTACTTGAAAATGTGAGATTTAATGATGTCAAGATGTTCTTATTAACATGAAAACACAATTGATTGAATATTATACGTTAGATTAAGTGCTGTTAAAGGCAAGCAGGGTGCTATCCTAGGCACCAGATAGAAAGAGATGAGGCTATAGCACAGTTTAGAGCTCTCAGGTGACTACTTATTAAGGCATTTATTTGGCGCGAGCTTGTAGTAACGTCATTGATTCAAAAAATGAAGGTCAATACTTCAAATGCAAAATACAATTTAGTTTTCATTACGAACTTTTGAGATGAGTGATTTCAAAAGGGCATCAATGGTTTAAAAAGGGTGAGGTGATGGGACCTATGAAAGATGCTAAACCAAAATTAAGTGCGAAAGGTTCAATTTATATAGTACAAAAATCTTAAGCGATAAGAGGACGTGTCGGGGGAGACAGAAAAGAATAATGCCTATGAAATCCAATAATGAAGAAAACATGGATATTAATGAGTAACAAACAAATCATAATGAAGATTGGATTAGCCTTATGCTATGTCAACAAAGAATTATATAAAAAAGTTATCTGAATAAATATTTTTGGTGCTTAATACTAAATAATATATTTATAAAAAAAATTAAAGCTTGAAATGCAACAAAATTTGAAATTCGCTATTTTTTCCAACACAATCTATGATGATTATCATTTTATACACTTCAAATCTTTCCTAATAATTCGTACATGTTTATTAAGTAAAATAGTATATCTTTTTCAGAGTTTTACCTTGATTAATCTAAGATGAATATCATTTTATACTCTTAAAATCTTTCCTAAAAATTAATATATGTTATTAGGAGAAATATAATTTCTTTTTTAGAGTTTTACCTTAGTGATGCACTCTCCAAAGGTGGGTCAACCGCCTCAAGCACTTGGCAAGATGATGCCACGAGGACTCTTGAACCGGTTTGGTTCAATCTCATCATTAGTAAGAGATTCAATGCCATATAAAATATCGTTGTTTAATTTGATGTTATGCATAACAACAATTAAACTTGTA